AGCTTGATCTGTCGTGGGGTTTAGGGTTTAGGGTTTAGGGTTTAGGGTTTAGGGTTTAGGGTTTAGGGTTTAGGGCTTAGGGCTTAGGGCTTAGGGTTTAGGGTTAGGGTTTAGGGTTAAGGGGTTAAGGGGTTTGGGGGTTTGGGGGTTTAGGGTTTGGGGTTTGGGGTTTAGGTTTAGGGTCTGGGGTTTCGGTTCGGGACATACCCCAATTTGCTCAAGCCCCAAACACGGGGCCCCAAACATCCCCAAAACAGAGCCCCTTCAAAACCCACAACCCCCAAACCCCTAAACCCTAAACCCGAAACCCTAAACCCCAAACCCCAAACCTAAACCCTAAACCCTAAACCCTAAACCCTAAACCCTAGACCCTAAACCCTACCTAAACCCTAAACCCCAAACCCCAAACCCTAAACCCTGAACCCTAGACCCATCGCCCGCCTCATCGTCCAGAAGGAGAAGATTCTCCGGCCTTGATCTTGGGTCTTGGTAGCTTAAGGCCACAGCCTACTCAACCTCACCGTCCCCTAACCCCTAAACCCCAACCTAAACCCTAAACCCTAAACCCGAAACCCTAAACCCTAAACCCTAAACCCTAAACCCCCTAAACCCCGAAACCCTGATTCTAACAAGCCCCTTTGGCTTCATCAGCTTTGCGTGTTGAGTGGCTGGGAGTGAGAGGACGCGGTCTGCCAGTCTAGGTTGAGGCTGTAGAACGCAATCTCTAGGTAGGGTTTAGGGTTTAGGGTTTAGGGTTTAGGGTTTAGGGTTTAGGGTTTGGGGTTTGGGGTTTGGGGTTTAGGGTGGTTTAGGGTTTGCTGGGCAAGGTCGCGCGCTGATCAGCACACAGTTGTATGAAGACCTGCCCACCCCAAGGCCACCCAAACACTACTCACTGCGAACTGGCTCCGGAGCCAGCCAAACCAGAGCCATTCCGAACTCCGCACTGGCAGACATCTCCAGGGCTTCCGGCGGCTTAGGGGCCTCCAGAACGCAAAAGACACCGAAGTCCCGAGCATTCAAGGTCCAGAGGCCAGAGCCAAAGTGGATACGGTTTGTCCAGCATTCGGCCGGTCTGGGCCCAAAGGGCCCTTTCATTGATGACTCGGGCTCTGACCGGCTTGCAGAGGTCCTCCCAAGCTCTCCCAAGCCCTTCCAAAGTCTTCACAAATCTCGGCAAAGTTTAGGGTTTAGGGTTTAGGGTTTAGGGTTTAGGGTTTAGGGTTTAGGGTTTAGGGAGTTTTCAGGGCCCCTTGCAGCTCTCCGAAAGCCTCTCCAAGGGGCCTCTCAAGGGCCTTCCGAGGGCCCTCCCAGAGCTCTCAGACTTTCCTAAAGGTGCACAAGCGAGTTTTGAGCAAATGCCCAGGCCTGAAGCGGCAAAAACAAGGCCAGAATCGGGAGAGTTTCTGAGGCTTTTAGGAGGGGGGGTTCGGGTGGCCAAGGATGCGGGTCGTTGGGTTTAGGGTACTACCAAAAATATCTGTGACTTGCTCCCTAAACCCTAAACCCTAAACCCTAAGCCTAAACCCTAAGCCCTAAACCCTAAGCCCTAAACCCTAAACCCTAAACCCTAAACCCTAAACCAAGCTTGGCAACTCCTGGGTGCGGTGGCTCTGCAGCTCAGCAGAGCCTGCCATGGTCTCGCTCAGCGCTCGACTGCGCCCGCCTACCCCAACAGAGCCCACCAACACCACATCCACCAGTTCCACCAGTCCTAGCTCCGTGTGACGATCATTAGCAGAATTAAGGGCGGCGAGGGATACACCGACAAAAAAAGAGAGGGTGCAACCAAAGCAAAGGGAAGATAAATGAAAAAAGAGGAAAGGAAAAGAAAGGAAGGGAACGGAAAGGAAAGGAAAAGGAAAAGGAAAGGAAAAGGAAAAGGGAAAGGAAAAGCAAAGGAAAAGGAAAAGGAAAAGGAAAAGGGAAAGGAAAAGGAAAAGGAAAAGGAAAAAGGAAAAGGAAAAAGAAAAGGAAAAGGAAAAGGAAAAGGAAAAGGAAAAGGAAAAGGGAAAGGAAAAGGAAAAGGAAAAGGAAAAGGAAAAAGAAAAGGAAAAGGAAAAGGAAAGGAAAGGAACGGAAAGGAACGGAAAGAACGAGCAAGTAGAGTACGCAAAACATGCGACGAACATGAGAAAGTGAAACTAGGTGATCAAACTCGGAAGCGACTAGACGAGAACAAGGCTCCACAGTGCTGACAAATTCGCAAGCATGCATAGCTAAACGCCATGCGGCAAATCATGTCACATAAGCCGCAGGCATTCAAAGACCCAAGTGCACAGGTTTATCTTCTGTCATGTTTGCAGGTTTCCGTTCTTCTTGCGTTTCCCGGCCAGGATTTTTCGTCAGAGCACTGTTTCTTCAGAGAGTCAAACCCTATGTGCTCTATCCCATCCTTTCCAATCTTCAGACAGTTTAGATCGAAACCGGCGCGCCGCGAAAACAGTGCAAAACAGTATCAGCAATTTCTAGCCAAATGGTATGAAGAGTCACGGAAATTCACTACCAAAAGAAAAAGCTAGTGATACTGCACAAGAGAACAAGCGAAAAGCTTCACATGCGCTTGTTTCGCCCAATAGAGATATCTTTCGGTTTGGGATGCAGTGCAAATCAGGCACCCTAAACCCTGAACCCAAGCCCTAAGCCCTACACCCTCAACCCTCACCCAAGTAAGCATTCGTAAGACTTTACGCAAGGGGATCCGAGAAACCCCTAGGGCCTGCGTTCCCCAGCCGCAACCTGTCAAGGGGAACCCATCCTTTTGGGTGGTTTGAGAAGGCAACTGTAGGGTTTAAGGTTTAGGGTTTAATGTTCTCAGCTGATTAGTGTCCACCCCCCACCCCCCTCAACAGATGGATCCCTGTGTTTAGTGGTGAGGGGCGGGGCGGGCAATTTTTGTTTTGTTTGGGGAGGGGGGAGTAGGAGAGTAGGACTCGGAAGGTTCAGAAGGCTTCAGAAGGAGCTCAGAAGCTTCATGCGAAGGAGCTCAGAAGGCTTTCTTCTTATTTTCTCAGAAGAATCTCAGATCGTCTCTCAGGCTCAGTTCAGAAGCGATTTCTAGACAACAACTCTATTCAACAGCCTCGCCGAAATTTTGCATCGCCCGATTTTTTTCACAAGCCCAGGGGACCTCCTCAAATAGGCCTTGCTGAAAATTTTCGGATTTGCCCCGCAATTCCGGGGGATCGCACTAATCAGGATGCAACATTAGGGTTTAGGGCTTAGGGAGCCTGATCCATGCATCCGCAGGGTCAAGATTCGCACACCCCCTAGCACTGAGGCAGACACTTGACGTCCCGGTGGAAGATGCCGTTCCTGTGCATGTGATCCAAGCCTTTCAAGATCTCCTTGGCGCGTGGCTCTTACTGTTGGTTGGTAGGGAGTGGGGGAATGAGGCACCCTATATAATCCCTTACAGGGTAAAAAAAAGGGCCCAAATTCCTTTGCAAGGGCTGAGGCAGACCGTGTATACCCGAACCCCTACGTAAACCCTACTGTATAAAACCTCTCAACCCTCTAAACCCTATACCCCCTCTCTACACCCCAAGCCCTAAACCCTCTAAGCTCACAACCCTAGGAACCCGAAACCCTAAACGCCTTTGAAACTTTCAAACACCAAACACTGCGCAAGAGTCCCGACATCCGAAACCCCTTCAAATCTCGAAGGTTTAGGGGGTACTGACGACATACAACAAGCAAGAACCCGCACAAGAGTCTGCGACCGCGTGTTTTCCGTGCATTGAAACGAGCTTCTTGCTCAACAGCCACCTGTACTTCAGCGCCTGCCCCAGACAAAGACTGCTCTGAGCGGGGCATATACATCTCACACTAAGCCTTGGCATCACTTCGCAGGGTAGCTATAAACTTAATGTTCAGCTGCCTTCTTAAGAAACCCATAAAACCCAAAAAGGCTAAGGATCTAAAGTCACAGTCAAGCACCACAGAGAAACTGTGCATCAACACGTAGTTGACGCTGTCGAAGCCTTCTCCCCAAAGAGCAATCCATGCAATACCCTAAACCCTAAACCCTAAACCCTAAACCCTAAACCCTAAACCCTAAACCCTAAACCCTAAACCCTAACATCTTAGTCTTCGGGGCCTATTCTGTAGTCTGAAGCCCTGAGTCTAGTCTTCGGGGAAGTTCGATGCCAAACCAAACTTGGTCGAATAGATGCAGAAATCAGAAGCCCAGCAATCGATATCAGCTCCGACTCAGCAAATTGATGTCGGGGAATGCGAAAGGGCGCAACAATGCGAGGGGGGCGGATATGAGTGCACCGGGCTTCTTGACTTGAAATACGCGCCGCACCTGACCCAGCCCAAGTTCCCCCCAAAGAGACCAATACTGTATGATTCAGCGCAAGTCATGCATTACCTGGACGCATGCAAAAGGAGGCATCATCTAAGTCTTCGGGGCCTATCCTGTAGTCTGAAGCCGTGAGTCTAGTCTTCGGGGTGGAACTTGTGAGAAAGTTCGATGCCAAACCAAACTTAGTCGGAGTTGGCCGTCGGATAGATGCAGAAATCAGAAGCCCAGCAATCGATATCAGCTCCGACTCAGCAACTTGATGTCGGGGAATGCGAAAGAGCACTGTGCAACGATGGGAGGGGGGCGGGTATGAGTGCACCGGGCTTCATGAGTTGAAATACGCGGAGCACCGGATACAGCCCCTGTTCCCCAAAGAGACCAACACTGTATGATTCAGCGCAAGTCGTGCATTACCTGGACGCATCAAGAAGCTGCAACGCAAGCATCATCTCAGTCTTCGTGGTCTACTCAGTCTACTCTGTGGTCTGAAACCCCAAGTATAGTCCTCTGGGTAAACATTGTGAGGCTGTCGGAAAAATTCAAAAAATCAGAAGCCTGGCAAACTGCCTCAACTCAGACTCAACAACTTGCCGGGGAAAGGACCCCATGCAACAATGGGAGGGAAGCCGGCATGCTTGCGCGCACGTGTGAAGACCAAAGCCAGAATGCTCACCGAAGAGGTCAGCCGCCTCTAGGCTTCCTGCTTCTTTGAGCCGCGCGCCGCACCGGATGTGGCCCCCGTACCAGCCTCCGCCGGCGCCGGAGCTGCCTCCTGCGCCACCTGAGTGGTGCTAACACAGATCCGCCTCTGCGTGCCATCGGGCCCTTGCAGCATGGAGCGGTCCATGAGTCCCCTGCGGAAGTTCGGAACCTCAAGCCCCAGGGCGTGAATCAGTCGCAACTCCGCCGGGCGTTCCATGGCAGCTATGCCACACTTTGTGAAGGATCTGAGATGCTGCGGAGGTCACGGAGTGCTCAAGCAACAGGCATTCCTTTTTGAGTGCTATAGACAGGAAAGAGGTCGTTCTTCAGGAGGCTGCCAAGAGAGCACCAGCCCCCTCAACAAGGTTTCGCCAGGGCTAGCGCCAAGAGATGGGTGTTTAGAGCGATGTTCGGGCATCTTTTCTCTTTTTTTGTTTGTTTTTTTTTTTTGTTTTTTTTTTTGGGGGGGGGGGGGACATTGGGATGTTCACCCTTGTACGAACAGTACCAATAGGGATTATCTTCCCCCCTACCCACAATCCCTATGAAGGACTGTTAGAGAAAAAAAGGGGCGAACCTCCCAAGATGACCAGGCCCCCTGGTTCTGAGTAGGGAATGAATATGTAAGGTAACTCATTCCCTGAGGCCCAGGGAAAGGTGGCAGGTTTAGGGTTTAGGGTTTAGGGTTTAGGGTTTAGGGTTTAGGGTTTAGGGTTTAGGGTTTAGGGTTTAGGGTTTAGGGTTTAGGGTTTAGGGTTGAGGGTTGAGGGTTGAGGGTTTAGGGTTTAGGGTTTAGGGTTTAGGGTTTAGGGTTTAGGGTTTAGGGTTTAGGGTTTAGGGCTCATTCCCTACTCTAAGAACCAGCCAGCAGGTGCAACCTGGCTTCGAACATGTAGTGCTTCGTCTTCGTGTCGGGCAAGTAGTGCCTCCGTCCCTTGATCGCTTCGTACACGTTCCTGAGACAATGCTTCTCATCTCAGCAAGGGTTACAGTACACAGAGGGCTTAGGGTTTAGGGTTTAGGGTTTAGGGTTTAGGGTTTAGGGTTTAGGGTTTAGGGTTTAGGGTTTAGGGTTTAGGGTTTAGGGTTTAGGGTTTAGGGTTTAGGGTTTAGGGTTTAGGGTCTCCGGTATGGCGCTCCAGCAGTGCAACTCATGTCTGCGAAGGGCCAACAAGCCACACAAGCAGCACCCTACACCCTAAACCCTAAACCCTAAACCCTAAACCCTAAACCCTAAACCCTAAACCCTAAACCCTAAATCCACACCCGCAATGACTTCACATGGAAACCACACTGAAGTAATCGCGAGGAGAGAAGCTCCCAGGCACAAACAAAGGTAAAGCGCCAGGACTCACTGACACCTCTGGGAGCTTCTTCCCCAACAACTGCAAACTCCGCACCCCAAGACCCTAACCCTAAACCCCACCCCCCCAAGACCCAAACCCTAAAACCCCCCCCCACCCAAGAACTATGTCCGATTGAGGCCTAATCCCTAAACCCTAAACCCTAAACCCTAAACTCTGTCCGACTGAGGCGCATGTCCATCAACTCGAAGACCAACGCTAACCTTCCCGTGGGCTCGTCGTAGAGGATTTCCTGAGATACCCATTTGCTTCAGAACCCCGGTTCAGGGTTTAGGGTTTCGGGTTCAGGGTTCAGGGCTTGTTGCTTCAGAACCCCCCCCCCCCCCCCAAAAAAAGTTAAAAGATAATGATCCCTATTTTTCTTCTAAGGAAGACGTTTTGCAATTTTCTTGTTTTTGGGGGTGGGGGGGGGTGCTTAAGCAAATGGCAGGAGATGCTCTCCAATTTACGGTGCAGGGTTGTGGGCTTTGGGTTCCTAAACCCTAAACCCTAAACCCTAAACCCTAAACCCTAAACCCTAAATTCAAACCTTGTGATTGGGGCTTGAAGGCGTCAGGCTTAGGGCTTCCGAGCCGAGTACCACGGAGCGGCACCCCCATTTGCACAGGAACCACCTAGCCATGAGGTACTTGAGGATTGGGTGGGAACTTAAACCCTAAACCCCAAACCCTGAACCCGAAACCCTAAACCCTAAACCCCAAACCCTGAACCCGAAACCCTAAGCCCTAAACCCGAGTAAGAGCTCGGGGATTACCAGGGGCCTGGGCTGACGGAAACCCTAAACCCTGAACCCTACGCCCTAAACCCTAAACCCTAAACCCTAAACCCTAAACCCTAAACCCTAAACCCTAAACACCCATCCAAGGGTCATGCAACTTGATGATGTTCGCGTGCCCGGCGAGCCGCCGGAGAGCCTCGCCGGAGGTTGAGGGTTTAGGGTTCAGGGTTTAGGGTTTGGGGTTTAGGGTTTAGGGTTTGGGGTTTAGGGTTTGGGGTTTAGGGTTTAGGGCTCGGGGTTTAGGGTTGAGGGGTTTAGGGGTTTTAGGGCATGGGGCTTAGAGTAGGCGTATTTGGGGAGGGCTGGCTGCATTCAGGGTCTAGACCCAGGAACAGCCTAAGAAAAAAGAAGGGTGCCCTTCTTGGTTTCAAGGGGGTAGGGAACCTAAACCCTCAAACCTTAAACCCTAACCCCTAAACCCTAAACCCTAAACCCTAAACCCTAAACCCTAAACCCTAAACCCTAAACCCTAAACCCTAAACCCCTGGAGGCTTAAGGAGAGCGGCCTGGATCTCCCTCAAGTTGTTCACCTGGTCAATGCTGTCGAAGGTATTCTTCATGCATTTGATGGCCACATGCTTCCCAGACCTTGGAGAGCAACGGTCCAAGACAGCTGAAAACCCTAAACCCTAAACCCTAAACCCTAAGGCCTAAGCCCTAAGCCCTAAGCCCTAAACCCTAAACCCTAAACCCTAAACCCTAAACCCTAAACCCTAAACCCTAAACCCTAAACCCTAACCCTAAACCCTACACCCAAAGTGCCACCGCACAGACAGAAGCAGCACGACGCACATGGACAGATGCGAAGGCTTGACATGAAGGAAGATGCCTCAGCACGACCTGCCTGAGTTCCAATCCCAGGCCCTGACGCTAAACCCCACAAGCCCCAGAAGCCCCAAACCCTAACCCGAAACCCGAAACCCGAAACCCGAAACCCGAAACCCTAAACCCTAAACCCTAAACCCTAACCCTAAACCCTAAACCCTAAACCCTGCAGCTTCGTGACCCTCAGCCCTAAAAGTTCAGGGGAAATCCCCTGCCCAGGGACTTGATGGACTGGGCCTTCAGCACTTCTGAGAAAGTGCCCTGCAAAGTGTGGAGGATTTTAGAAGGGTTGAGGGTTCAGGGTTTAGGGTTTAGGGTTTCGGGGGGGATCTGTTGAGGCACTTCTGAGAAAGTGCCCTCGGAAGTGTGGAGGGTTTTCTTGGGACGGGGGGGGGGGGGGGGGGGGGCCTTAGGGTGTGGAGGGTCTTCTTCTGAGGCAGATTCTAGGTGGCGCAGGGGTTTGCAACGCGGCTTTATTTTTGAAGGGTTGGGCCAGGAAGCCCTAGACAATTATGGTAGGAGTATGTATACCCCAAAAGGTCCAAGGTTGCCTACACAGCTACTAAATAGGGTTTAGGGTTAAGGGTTAAGGGTTTAGGGTTTAGGGTTTAGGGTTTAGGGTTCAGGGTTCAGGGTTCAGGGTTCAGGGTTCTGGACCGTCCAGAAAACCGTATTTAATTTCTGGGGAGTACAGGTATAGGCTGCTCCCTCTCAGAACACGCACCACAAGAATTTAGTAAGTGCAAACTACAGCCGCCCCTGAGGATAATCCCCATTGAGGACCGCTTCTCTACGGGAGAACATGCTAACTTAGTGGGCGCCCTTGACCCTAAATCCTCAACCCTCAAGCTTATCCCCAAGCCCTAAACCCTAAACCCTAAACCCTCAACCCTAAGCCCTAGCCCTAAACCCTAAACCCTAAACCCCAAACCCTAAACCCTAGACCCCAAACGAAGGTGCGCTGGCCCCTTGCAGGCCTCGCCCTTTTTGGAGAGTAACCGGTACTTGTGCATTGGCGAAGGGAAGCCTGCTAGCAGCTCCGGGTGGGTTTAGGATTTAGGGTTTAGGGCTTAGGGTTTAGGATTTAGGTTTTAGGGTTCAAGGTTTAGGGTTTAGGGTTTAGGGTTGAGGGTTGAGGGTTTAGGGTTTAGAGTTTAGGGTTTAGAAGCTGAACTGACACACTTTGCGCCCTCGGCATAAAGTTCAGCGTACAACTCGTACAGCACGGTCAACGCCTCTCCACCAAGCTTGTCAAAAGATCAGAACACCCTCAACCCCAAAGCCTAAACTCTAAACTCTAAACTCCGAACCCCCAACCCTAACCCTAAACCCTACACCCCAAACCCTAAACCCTAAACCTCAAACCCTAAAAATGACTAACTCTTAGACCAACAAGTCCAAAGCCTAAACCCGAAAACCCCGCATGTAAGAACTAAACCCCGAACCCTAAGCCCTCCAAACTCCTCATCCCTAAACCCTAAGCCCCAAACCCTGAAACTCCCTAAACCCTAAACCCCAAACCCTGAAACCCCAAACCCGAAACCCCGAACCGCAACAGCCCCACAAACCCTAAACCCCAAACCCTGCAACCCCAAACCCGAAACCCCCCCCTAGACCCTAAACCCTACACACTAAACCCCAAGCCCTAAACCCTAAACCCTAAACCCTAAACCCTAAACCCTAAACCCCCCGCCCCCAAGGCCGTGCCTGCATGCCGGGGGCTTCCGGCCCTTTAACGCATCTCGGGCCAAAGACTTGCGGGCACATCCTACCCCTAAACCCTAAACCCTAAACCCTAAACCCTAAACCCTAAACCCTAAACCCCAAACCCTAAACCCTAAACCCCATACCCTAAACCCTAAACCCCATACCCTAAACTCTAAATCCCAAACCCTAAACCCCCCAAGAACAAACTGACCCCTGGGATCACCCTTGCGGACTTCGGCAAATTCAGCTTTGGGTTTGGGATGTTGCGGGTTTGGGGTAGGGTCTATGGGTTCTGGGTTTAGGGTTTGGGGTTTAGGGTTTAGGATGTAGGGTTTAGGCTTCCTAAACCCTCAACCCTAACCCCTAACCCCTAAATCCTAAACCAAACCCTAAACCCTAAACCCTAAACCGAAGCTCTTGCGATTTTGGGTTACAGGCAACCCACACCCTGAACATATCTGGCCAGCCCAAGCCTTAGTGGACCTTACTTAAAGATTTGGGGCTAGATTTAGGGTTTAGGGCTTCCACCAGGTTTTGCAGCCGTTCCAACAAATACAATGATTTAGTAGGACAATCGAATCAATAGAAGAAGAAAATAATGGTATACCCGAATAATGGAGTAATCGAGCAATAGAACAATAGAACGAAAGAGTAACAGAACAAGAGAGCAACAGAATAAGCGAAGAGTAGAATAGTCGAACGCTAGAATAGTAGAATAATGGAACAAGACACTAGTGCAATGACACAGTACTTGATGCAATCAGGCAGGGAATAACAACATAAAAAATAGCTTGGTAGCCCCGCAACCATATTACAAATAAGGGCACCCGTTTTGGGGTTGGTTGCTCCATAAGGGAACCTTGAACCAAACACCGGGGTAAAGCGGACCACTGGGGCCACCAAGATAGCGAACCCCGGGGCCCGTCAAAGCAAGCGCAGAGCCCTGTCTCCAGACCCCCGAAGGGGATCCAAAAAGTAGAACCCCCAAACGCTACCCTCTGCTGCTATTGGGCCAACCTTAAGGTGATCCAACCCCTAAACCCTAAACCCTAACCCTAAACCCTAAACCCTAATCCTAAACCCCAAAGGTCTGGGTATCCTGCGAGGGGTCTGGAGAACCGAGCCAGAGGGCCATGAATCTAGCAGTTCTACCCTGGACCCTTAAGGTTGTATTCTTGGGTTTCGGGGTCCCTTTACCCTAAACCCTAAACCCTAAACCTAAATCCTAAACCCTAAACCCTAAACCATAAACCCCAAGGGGGTATCAGGGCCATACTCGGAGTGTATGGGAATAAGGGGTACCCCTAATATACCCCTGCCAAAATAGGGATCCCTAAAAGGGTACCCTTATTTCGGAAACGGCCATATTAAGGGGAACCTTTGGGGGTACATTAGGGGTACGAGTCTGAACCCCTTGAACTACTATCTACTTAAGAAACCCCAAAAAAACAACAAAACATTCTTCCTAATACAGGGTAATATAGTGATGCTTATCTTTTCAGGGTTCTTCAGCAAATAGTAGTGAATCCGGAACAACTCGAAGAGTCTCATGTAGTAGTGAATGGAGCCTTCCGACCGCATCCATGAGGTTCTGATCGAAGCCGGTGCTGTTCACGAGGACCACATCGGCATCTCGGCGGTTCAGGGTTTAGGGTTTAGGGTTTAGGGTTTAGGGTTTAGGGTTTAGGGTTTAGGGTTTAGGGTTTAGGGTTTAGGGTTTAGGGTTTAGGGTTTAGGGTTTAGGGTTTAGGGTTTAGGGTTTAGGGGTTCGGGGTTTAGGGTTTAGGGTTTGGGGTTTAGGGTTTAGGGTTTGAGGTTTGGGGTTTGAGGTTTGGGGAAGGTAAAGGTTCGGGGTTGGTGGTTTAGGGTTCTTGGGCCATAAGTATGGGGCATGCTCCCAAATTCGTGGACTCCCGAAACTCCCAGAGACCCAAAACCCTAAACCCTAAACCCGAAACCCTAAACCCTAAACGCTAAACCCCCTCGTGTAGACCCCGACTCCGTCTCGGCCGCAGACCAGGCAGCCCATCGTATGCAAAGAGGTCTCCGCAGTGCAGCTGGAGGCGCCTGGAGGGGGGGAACCCTAGGGCTTGGGCTTTAGGGTTTCGGGTTTAGGGCGTGCCAAACGGAAGCGCGCTTTGGGAGCGCGGGGAAGTCTGCAGACCTACCCACCCCAAGACCGCCCACTTACAACTCTCAAGGAGTTAAGACCTTTTCTGTTTTTTACGAAGCATCACATGAGTCAGCACTCACGCCCTTTTGGGGACCTCCACAAGGTGCGTGGACCAGGGCATTTGCGATGCGCAGACGGAAAGGCGAGGCAGGGTCAGCGAAGACAGCTTGGGTTGGGGCAAAGTGGCTAAGGCCAGGGATGGCCGGGCCAGGAACAGACACGCTAAAGCCAGGGAGGCAGGGTCAGGGAATACAGGCCGTGAGCGGCTTGGGTAGGGTCAGGGCCAGGGCCAGGGCGCCAGGGCCAAGGCCAGGCAGCGCCAGGGCCAGCACAGAGTAAGGGGTCAGGGCCCGAGCATTTTTGCCAGAGCCCTGCCTGCCCCAACAAGACGGCCCCTGGTCCCCAGAGCCAGGGCCAAGAGGGGCAAGGGGGGGCCAGGGCCAGACCAGGGCCAGCCCCAAGCATTTTTTGCCACAGCCCTGCCTGCCCCAACAAAACGGCCCCTGGTCCCCAGAGCCCAGCGGACGGGGGTGAGGGACCCAGGGGTCTCCAGGGGCCCACCCAAGAACCCTCCAATGCAGGACCCAACAATGACTTGCCTGCCCGCTGGACCAGCGCCCGCCTACCCCAAAAGACAAGAGA